TGGCCTGTAGTTCTCTTTCTTTGTTGGGTCTTTACCTGGCTTGGGTATCAATGTGATGTTGGCATTGTAAAATGATTTAGGGAGAGTTCCATCTTTCTCAATTGCCTGGAATACCTTCAGTAGGATTAGTATCAGCTCCTCCTTAAATGTCTCATAGAAATCTGCTGGAAAGCCATCTGGTTCAGCTTTTTTTTTGTAGGTAGTTTTCTAATTACGTGGTCAATTTCCTTGATTATTATTGGCCTATTTAGGGCCTCAATTTCTTCTTATTTCAACCTAGGCAGGTTATGTCATGACATAAAGTCCTCCATTTCCTTAAGGTTTTCAAGTTTGTTTCCATACAAGTGTACATAGTAGTCTCTAATGATCTTTTGTATTTCTTCAGGGTCAGATGTGACTTCATCTTTTGTGTTTCTGATTGTGTTTATTTGGGCTTTTTCTCTCTTTTTCTTGATCAGTCTAGCTAGGGGACCATTGATCTTGTTTATCCTTTTGAAGAACCAGCTTTTTGTTTCATTGATTTTTTGTATTATCTTTTTGTCTTCTATGTCCTGGATTTGGGCTTTTATTTTGGTGATCTGGATTCTTCTGCTGAAATTAGGGTTTTTGTGATCTTGCTTTTCCAGCTTCCTTAGGTGGCTTCTTAGGCCGTTAATTTGTGATCTTTCCATTTTTCTTCATGTGCGTTTGCAGGGATATAAATTCCCCTCTTACTACAGCTTTCATGGCGTCCCAGAGATTTTGGTAAGATGTTTCTTCATTTTCATTTGTTTCCAGGTATCTTTTAATCTCTGTTTTGATTTCATAATTGACCCAGGAGTTGTTTAGCATCATGCTGTTTAGTGTCCATGTCTTTGTGGGTTCTTGGGGGGGCCTTGTTGGTGTTAATGCTTATTTTTATTCCACTGTGGTCTGAGAAGGTACATGATAAAATTTCATTCCTTTTAAATTTGCTTATGCTTGACTTATGGCAAAGTATGTGGTCGATCTTAGAGTACGTTCCATATGGTGATGAGTAGGATGTGTATTCTGTGGTCTTTGGATGGAGGGTTCTGTAGGTATCAATTAAGTCCATTTGATCAAGAGTCACATTGAGGTTTCGGATCTTGTTGCTGATGTTTTGTCCTGATGATCTGTCTAGGGTTGTGAGTGGGGTATTAAAGTCCCCAGCTATGATGGTATTGGAGTTGATATCTTTTTTTAGTTTACCTAGGAGCTGCTTTATGAAAGTTGGTGCTCATATGTTCAGTGCATATATGTTTAGGATGGATATTGCTTATTGATGGATTGAATCTTTTAACATTATGTAGTGGCCTTCTGTATCTTTTTAAATTTTTGATAGCTTAAAGGGTATTTTGTCTGAGATTAAGATCACGACTCCTCCTTTCTTTTGTGTTCCATTCGCCTGAAAATTTGTTTCCCATTCTCTTACTTTGAGTCTGTGAGTGTCCTTTCTAGTGAGGTGAGTCTCTTGAAGGCAATAGATTGTTGCCTGGTGATGTTTTATCCATTTTGCCATCCTATGTCTTTTCAGTGGTGCATTTAGTTCGTTCACATTCAAACAAATTATTGAGATGTGAGAGTTGATCCCTATCATAATGTTCTTACAGAGTTGTTGTTCTTCCTGTTTGTGTGTTGTCTTTCTTTTGGTTTTAGAGTTGGATCATGTGTTCTTAATCTTTTGCCTGTACTCTTGTGAAGAACATTATTGTTCTTTTTTTCTTTTCTTCTGTGTTCAATACTTTCTTAAGTGTTTCTTGTAGAGGTAGTCTGGTGGCAGTGTAGGTTCTTAGGGATTGGATATCTGGGAAAGATTTCAATTCTCCCTCACTGATGAAGCTTAGCTTGGCTGGGTAGGTTATTCTCGGTTGAAATTGTTTATCTTTTAGAACTTTGAAGATAGGGCTCCAAGCTCTCCCAGCCTGGAGGGTTTCTGTTGATAAATCTGCTGCTATTCTAATTTGTCTTCCCTGGTACGTACTATGACCTTTTTCTCTTGCAGCCTTTAGGATTTTTTTCTTTTATACCTACTTTGTTTAGGCAAATTATTATATGTCTGGGAGTTGGTCTTCTCATTTGTTTTCTTGCAGGGCTTCTCTGAATCTCTTGTGTTTGAATTTTTTCATCCTTGATGAGATGAGGGAAGTTTTCTTGAATGATTTCCTATAATATTTGTTCCATTGTGGCCTCTGTTTCTCTCTCTGCCTCAGGAAGGCCAATTACTCTTAGATTCGGTCTCTTGACGTGGTCATTCATCTCTTGAAGGATTTGTTCTGTCTTTTTGAGCTTCTTTTCTATGCTTTTGACAGTTTAGGTTAGTTCTGTGTTTTGGTCTTCGAGCTCTG